CTAACCTAACCTAACCCAACCTAACCTAACCCAACCCAACCTAACCTAACCTAACCTAACCTAACCTAACCTAAACTAACTTAACCTAAACTAACTTAACCTAACCTAACCTAACTTAACCTAACCTAACCTAAACTAACCTAACCTAACCTAACCTAACCCAACCTAACCTAACCTAACCAGACCGAACGTAAAATAAAACTTAACAAAGTCAAACCTAACAGAAAGGAACTAAACATTACCTAAACCAACCTGTAGTAATCTAAGCAAACCTAAGCTACTCTAGCATTACTTAACCTCATCTTATTCCGCCATATTTCATCATTTAATACAATTTTCTGTCCTAATGTAACCTGAAGAAACTAAAACTCACCTTCGCTGAGGAAACATAACGGAACCTTTTAACATTTTAAGAAACTCGACCAGCTCAGCTAACTCAAATAGCTCAAATAATCTCAGAATCAATTTGCTCAGTTATTTAAATTCATATGTCTGACAACAAAAATTACTTTCCATAAATAACTCAAACAGCACAACTCAATCAGCCCGATCCAACCAAATCGAACTTAAAGTAGAACTGGATCCACCGATTATGGCCGCTGACCTTGTAGGGAGTGCCCAGTATGCGGACCACTCATTGAAGGAAGGAAGGAGTTTCCGTCGGCCAGTACAGTCTCTGTCAATAAAGCAGCGTAGAAGCCTGATAATTGTTGTCTTGTGACTGTGCTGTGTTGACAAAATGCCACCTGTTCGTTGCAATCTCCTCTCTGGTCATTGATAACGCCTCGTATCAAAACACTCGGACAGACAAACCACCGACGTCTTAATCAAAGGACGAAATGAAAGCCTGGCTATTGGAAATGAACATCCCACTTTGTGACGTGTTGAAAGCTGAACTGTGCGATTTAATCAAATTAAATAAGTCAAAGAACAAATATTATGTAATTGATCAGATTTAAGCAGACAAAGAACGTCCTGTGCTGAGACTTCCGCCGTACCGTCCCGATTTAAACCTCATTTAAATTACTTGGGCAGTTCAAAAACAAGAACACGACATTTAAATATCAAATCTAAAACTTCTTGACGATGGTGAAGAGTCAATTGAATAAAAATTTCCTTGGATATTATCCATCGTCTAGTAAATATAAAACGTAAAACGACGTTTCGGAGATGGGACTCTATCTAAATGCTTCAGTGATTATTTTTAGACTTGTACAATATTAAAATATTAAGTTTTAGCCCCTCTGTGATTGCTAAGAAATTTAAAATTTTATTTTATTATTAATTATTTTATTTATTAATTAATGAAGGAGGGTCTTTATTGAGGACGATTTTTAAGGGGGGGGGTTGTTTGCCCCCAATACACCTCGAAATGGAGGATCACCTATTGTCGGCTGTCCGCGACTTCTTAAAGACAATGTTCCATACCTCGAGGCCTTTTTCGCTATTTGCGATCTTGAGGACACGCCTTTCCGTGTTGCACTTATCATGGAATTAATTTCATTGAGTGAATATTATTACATTGAATTGTAGGTTAGGTTAGATGCTTGTTTGCAGATGACATGTCCCACTTCGCCGGACCCTGAAGACCCCCCATGGCCTCAGTGACTTAAACCTTTCTTCTGCACCCAGTCTCACGATCTGGTGTAGATCAGTGCAGTACATTCGGAGACTCTGACGAAGTTGCGACAGGTCCGCGTCTTAGACTGAGGAGTTTAAGAAAGGAAATTTATGTTGTCGACAGCGTGACGTCATCTGTTCCTTGTGTCGTTCATAAGGTCGGTGAATAAATAATATATTTACTGGTTCCGTGTGTTTAGCACGTGTTTTTTGTAATGGTGGAGTGTAGTGTTTTCTTCGCGGTACGGACTGAATTCTTAAATGCTATTTAGACGAACCAAAAACGCTGGGACGCAGTATAACAAAATCAAACCTGGCTTGCTTACTTTTACTAACTTTACAAAATTTAACCTGATAAAACCAAATTAATTGTACCCAAACTAAACTGACCCATCCTAACGCCGCTCAACCAAACCCAACCTTATTGAACTCCCCAGACTTCAACATTATTGCCTAACCTTTCCTAGAATTTCATATCAGATAATCCAACGTAACCCAACCAAAGAGTACGCCCCCTGCTGGCAGAGAGAGCCGGTCAAAACAAACGATTGAGTTGCAGCTGTGTCGCGATTAGTTTAGTTCAGTGCCTTCGGGGTGCGGGGTGGGCTTGGCGACTTACGCCATCTTTCAGGAATTCTGTGTACTTAGGTCAAGTAAGTACAATACCGCTGCGATAAAATGTCGCATTTCCCCCGACAACCCCTGCCGGTCACAACATTTTGATTTGCGTAGTGTTACGTTGGTAATGCATGGAGTTGAGTGGTATTTGTTTTAGGTAGCTGCTAAGGGTTTTGTGCTTTTGATATGGCTATTAGTTTGTCAAGAATGGATATAAATTTATATATCATATTGTGTTCATTTTATTTTGCATCTTTTATTCAGAGATGTGGTAAGTTGGTAATAGAATTACAAATTCATACTTTTACTGTATTAATAAGAACACTACCTAAAGCGAATTTGGGGGAAATTTGATGGATTTTCTGTGGTTGTGAGGCATCTGTTATAGTTCCATTTCTGAGGAATAAATAACCAACATTCTGCATCGTATAATGTAATACTTAAGTGATCTGGCCCTGTAATTACCCCACAGTATAATTTACTTAAGCCAAAATAATCTAAACAGTTGGGTGGTCTACTGGAATGAGAAAAACTGAGGCATAGAAACTTTTTACATGACTGAACTATGATGAAATATAATTTCTGATTAAATTTGGGGTTCTCACGGTGGTGAAGAAGGCATTATTGATCTTTTGGGTAGTAACTCCATGTGGGTTTTCAGAAGTTCACATGGTGTTAACTACCTAGAAGATAACATTGACATGAATCCTGATAATTCTTTATTCTGATCAACATCTACAGGCCATTTTCATTCTGTGTATCATTTGGTAAGCTAGGTACAGGAGTCTAAGTCCATGGGGAAGAACCCCTGAAATTGCATGTACAAGGTGCTGGGCCCCAGGGAGCAATGAGCCAAAGGCCTGGAGCACTGGAGCAAAACCCCACAGTTCATTTTCTCCTTTGGGGAGTCCCTGATGTTTGCCTAGTTGCTAGGCTGACAAACAGATATGGTCAGGCCCATAAAGTGTTCTTTGCCTACACTAGAATGTGAAGAACATCTAAAAGGTTTGTAACAGTGTGCAAAGTCATCAGATATAGTTCATCTGAATCATTAAGTTATTCAGTGTTGCTGTATCAAGTGCAGAGGTTGTGCAGTGTCAAATAAGAATATATAATGATTACGTATGGTAACGTAGAAAGACTTTGGCATGTCATTTGCCTGAGAACTTGAATAAAAGCATAAAAAACACATTAGAATAGCCATTGCTCGAACCGAGACTTAGGATGGTTTCCTTCTTATTAACCAGACTGCTTTCTTAGTGAAAAGCTAGCCTGCCTTCAAAGCATTATTTTGTTTCTGCTTATTTTCAGTGGTATTCAAATATAATGTGAAGTGAATGAAAGAGTTAAGAATGTTGTTATGGTGCTGAAGATAGCGCCTGTTTCGTGCAAATAATGTCTACATGTTGATATATCTATTATAAAAATTTGTGATTTCGCCGTCGTCAATAAATTACGTCATCAACAATGTCAACTATAAACAAACTCGGCATTGTTGTGTTCCACAACAATGCCGAGTTTAGTGCCTTACTCAAGATTTTAAAACGCAACCAACCCCCCAGAAGGAGGGGTTGGTCAAGTGTTTTAATCCTACATTCGGGGGGTTTAGTTTAGTTTCTTACACAAGATTTTAAAACGCAACCCCCCCCCCCCCCTCCGAAGGGGTTAAAAACTTGACCAGCCCCTCCGAGGAGCTCCGAAAGGAGCGTTCTGCCCTAGTTTTTGTAAAATATTTGTAAGTGAAATGCATTCTGGCAGTCATATGTGGAACGCAAACTGAATGTGAAACTTTTGTGGCAGATGTCATTACTTCTTGGGCTAGCCTTGAAAATGAGGACAGATATGGCCCTCAAAATGTCGGCACAGTTTAACCAAGTGGCGCGGCTGCTGGCCAGAGATTATTTTATTAATGGATAACCATTTTTATCTTCAATACAAGAGAATCTGTTGGATGGGGGATGATATTAAAGTGGATCTTATCAAAATATGATGGCTTAGGATAGGAATTGATTATGGTCTGTTCTGATCATGACAGTAAATCTTCAGGTCGCGATACAAGGCATGAGGGAATTTATTGACTATATGAGCAGCTTTCAGATTCTCATGGACCCTAGCCCAGTGAGTTGACTGAGTTAGATCATACTCTCTTCATTTATCTGGAATTTCATTTTCCAATGTCAGGCTGGGTTTGCTCTG